GGGAGGAAACGTCCCCCGGCTGCGTTTCGCAGCTCCGTCCCCTGTAGGTGACAGTGCAAACACCCAGAGGGGGTGAGGCCGTGACGCAGAGGGAAGAAGGGGTTTCCAGCCGGGCCGTGCGCCGCAGGATTTCCCCTTTCTCCCTCCCCAGTCCCCCGCGCCGGGCAGAGCCGGCCATGGAGTTCTCGGAGCTGATCAAGACGGCGACGGTGGAGAACGTGCTGCTGTCGTGCGCGGGGCTGCCGGCGGTGAGGGGCACCCTGTGCATCACCAGCCACCACCTACTCCTCTCCTCCTGCCCCGGCGGGGACCTGGAGCTCTGGCTGCTCATCCGCAACGTGGACGCCGTGGAGAAGAGGTGCGTGTGCTGCTCCCCGCCCCGCGGCTGCCCCGCGCTCCCTCCCGGCCCTGTCACCCCTTCCTCCCGAGCTGGAGCGTTCCCGAGCAGAGCACGGCCACCCCTGGGTGCTGCCCGCCGAGCCCTGTCCTTCCTCTTCCTCACGGCCCGGCACGGCAGCACCGGGCGCTGACCTCCTCTTCTCCTCAGAGTGCAGAATTTAGGCTGGTACCAGCCCCCCCGGACTAACAGCTCCGCCCGGGACACCAGGTTTGGCTTTTAACGCTCCCTTGGCTCTGCCAACCACCGCGGCGCCCGCCGTGCCCCGTCCAGGGCAGGGAGACAGTGGAAATCCCGGCTCCGGGGGCAGACGAGAGCCAGAGATTTGGCAACCACACCAGCACAGCCCTCGCGGGGAGAGGGCAGCTCGGCGCTGTCTGTGTGTCCGTCTGTGTGCGCGCGGAACCCCGGCCAGCCCTGACCCCCCTCCTGCCTCCCCCAGGCTCACCGGCTCCTCCGGCACCATCACGCTCCGGTGCAAAGACCTGAAGGTGCTGCAGCTGGAGATCCCGGGCATGGAGGAGTGTCTCAACATCGCCAGCTCCATCGAGGTGAGCCCCGGGCAGCAAAGGGTTGCCAGGGCAAAGCGGCCCCGCCGTGTTTGCTCTGCGTCTGTCGTTCGCTGGGTAAATAAGCACTCAGCTCCGGCAGCGCTGGCACAGGGTGCCCCGTGGGGCCGCTGGTGCTGCCCAGCCCTCGCCTGGTGCTGGGATGTGGCCAGGAGCAGGGAACAGCCATGGGGTTTGCAGAGCCCTGGGGACATTCCCAGCCACGACCCCTGCCCCGTGACCGGCGCTGCCTTTGCTCTCGCTCCAGGCCCTCTCCTCGGTGGACTCCGTGATGATGATGTACCCGTTCTTCTACAGACCCCCGAGCCTGAAGCTCGAGGAAGGATGGCACCAGTTCCCCCTCGAGCAGTATTTCCAACAGATCTCCTCGCAGGTGAGGCTGGAAGGAGACCTGAGTCCCTCCCAGCCACAGCAGGCTGGGTACCAGGGCTCCCCCTGACCCCGTGTCTGCCCCAGACGAGCCAGTGGCGGCTGAGCAC